GTGCTCTATACCGAGTCTCCGAGAGTTTCATATAAACTTGCTATGTGATGCCTATTGAATAACCTTATATGTTGACATTTGATTTACATTCCAGTTCATGTTAAAGATTTTTTCTCAACATTACATTACATTACATTACATTATTACTGAGTAGAGCAAGACTTGACTCTATCAATTGCGAATACAAAGGTGAACTGAAAGAGGAAAAAATGAGACAAATTTGATTCAGTCCAATTTACGCATGATTTAAGAAATATTTAAAAAATGAAACTTGGATAATACTTTTTCACATCCGAAACATATAAAAGAGTCACACAACAGTGTAACTTAATGTAAATACATGCAAAACCGAAACGTAAAAAAAGTACATGTGGATTTTTGAATTGTTTCACTCTTGCGTGTTCAAATTTTTCGATTCGTTGTACGCAGAGCAATATTTAAGTTTCTATCTTCTATGTGCATAGTATTTGAGTCATGATTTTTCTCACCCATTCATATGTACTACATATGTACCTCTTTTTTCCACTGTGATGCGTTTACTTCGATGAAACTAACACCAAAAATAGAGTTAAATAGGGTGCGTAACTCATTTTGAGGGGTTAAGCCTCTACCAACACCGCAAGTGCGAGTAAGCGTACTCGAATACTTGTTTCTGTTAACATTTTCAATCAACTTTCGTTTTTGTTCTATTAGGGAGAAAATTTCTTAGCAAATGATACAATGAACTTTGCACTAACACTTCTATCCGAAGCCAACAACGAAGAGCCAGAACTCAAAACTAGTTTGTATAATCTATTGGCTGCTTTATCCGAAGTAGTAAATGCCGAAATGGCTCCATTCCTTCCCAAGATTGTGGAGTCAATGTTGGCAAGTGTCACAAGTTCGGAAGGTCTTCTACCACAATTCAAAGGTGACAAAGCTGGCGATGGAGAAACAGAAGATGAAATCGACATTGAATTATCCGATGAAGAAGATGATGATGAGGATGAAAATCTATGTATGTTCAAATTTTGGGAAAATTTCTAATTTTTATTATATCAATAATACTATATTTTAAAATTTCAGTGTATACTGTTGACAATGCATATTGGGATGAAAAAGAAGAAGCCATTTTGGCTTTAAAACTATTGGCCGAATACACCGGGTTAGTAATAATAATAGATTAAAGTTTGATCATCAAACTCAAATTTACGTTTAGTCTTAATCATTATTGTATAAATTTTCAATCAACTTTTTTCTAATTAGGCCAGCATTTGCTCAATACCTACAACCATGTTTTGAAACAATTTACAAGCAACTGGAACACATTCACATTCGTAAAACGGCAACCGAAGCATTAGCCCAATTCACAAAGTCGCTGTATCAAATGAACAATGTCGATGGTGCAAAGAATGCGGTGTCCATCATTGTTCCAAAATTTGCTGAAGAGTTGAAAAATGATGAGGATATTCACACAGCCATGGCCGTCTTTGAGGCATACAGTGAGGTGTTGAACATAATGAGAAGTGAAGCATTATTCAATGAAGATATGAAAAATCACATTTTCAGCTGTATCTATGATGTGTTAGCATCAAAAGTGGCATGTCAATTCAATGATAACTCCGGCGATGAAGATAATGATGATAGTGAATATTTGGTAGCGTTACGTGAATTGGCGGGTGAAGTTTTGCCAAAATTTGGACATGCACTTCAGCCACAAGAGTTTGAAATGTATTTTGGTCGCGTTCTTCCATTGCTTTTAGAAAAATTGGAAAAGTCACGTAATAACGAAGACTTGAACAGCGAACGAAGCTTAGTTTATGGAACATTGTCAGAATGCTTTTCGGCATTAAAAGAATGCACATCCAACTGGTTTGAAATAATGTTACCATTGTATTTGGCTGGCGTTCAAGATGAATACGAAGAGGCTCGCCAGAATGCAGTGTTTGGATTGGGCGAACTTGTTGTGTTCAGCGGTGAAAAAGCACATCCAAATTATCCACAAGTGTTGCAGGCGTTGAGTAAGTAAAACCCCTTTTCGTTCATTTTCTGTTTATGAGAATATCAAATTTTGCAGGCACAATGGTTGCCATTGAGAAAGAAGAAGGCGTTCTCGACAATATTTGCGGTGCATTAGCTAGAATGATCGCATCGAATAGCCAATTAGTTCCATTGGAACATGTCCTACCAGTTTTTGTACAGAAAATTCCACTACGGAAAGATTTCCACGAGAATAAAGCTGTCTTTAATGCGTTCCACGTACTTTTGATGCAGAACAGTGAAGCATTCTTGAAATCATTGGACAGAATCTTCATGGTTGGATTGCACGTGCTTGGCGAAAATGAATATAAAGACGAAGGTACGTGTAACCAAATACTCACTTCATTCTACATGTCTCTCTTGAAATAATGTTGCGACTCATTTTAATTATTAAAAAAAAAACATTGTTCTTTTTCTTTTACATACAGAAACTCACAACATTTTGCTCCAATTTTTGAGAGATGCGCGTAACCGGTATCCAGAGATCTTTAATCAAATTGTTGCATCGAATGCACAACAGGCTCAATATGCCAATTTATTGAATGAATAAGACCCGTTTTTTTTTAATTTATGTACACAATTCCAATGAATTTATTCAGTTTGGATGCATTCATATGATATCAGATAACACTGAAAAAATTAATTGAAATTGCGTACAAAAATTGTAATATCAAAATATCATAAATGATCAGATATAAAACTAGTCTGATGCACACTGATGTGTATTTCGTAGAGAAATTTCAGATTCAAATAAATCATTTTGTTTAGTTTTTTATGGCAATTCGGCGTTCATTTTTCTTACATTCCTCATTTGCTCGAATCAAAATTAATTCGGTGTGGTTATACACCCTCCATTCCAAAAGTTCCTGAACTTTTTAAAAATAATAGATACCAGTGGCGCCACCTATTATATGCGTTAGAAAGGTGGAGTACCCATTGACTTTGTGTAAAAGTTTCGTAAAGATCGGATGTAAACATTTCAAGATATTGCGTCTTATTTTTTAGTATCATTTGCTCTCGGTGACAAAATGAATTTCAAACAAAAAATAATCAACTTTTGTGATAAATTTTGAAAGTTTTAACGAATTATACACTGACAAAACTAAGGTTATGATTTTGACAACTCCGTGTTGT